AAAAAAGTAAAAAGAAAAACCCTTAATTTCAGTGGCAAAGACATCCATCAAAAAGCAATCTACCCTGCATTTTCTCTGCAGAAGGAGCACAAGTTGTAAACAGAATCCTCGGAAGGTGATAGCCCTCCACGTGGAAAGCATCAGAAAAGAGTTGCCAAACACAGGGCTTTAGAATGGCCTAAAGGATGATTCTGCCCCTCAAAGAACTTACAGGTGGCCCTTGAATTCCCGGTGGTCCAGCAGCTCCTGCAATTCCATCTGCTCCCTAAAAAGAGAAGCAGAAGGAAAGGTTCATGTGCCATTGGACTGCAGCTGGGTGTTACACCCTCTGAGTCCCCCTCTGCCTGCCCAAACCAGACAGGTTTCCGTGGTTCTCCTGGCTTCCCATGAGCCCTGTCTATACTCTGGGAATACTATGACATTGGACGAACAGCCGCATTTCTGGCATTGACCAGTCAGACATTCCTAAGGCAATAGGAATGACCTCACCCCATAACGGACATTTCCAGAAGATGTGAAGAGGTGAGGCCGTATTAGGACAGAAACCACTAAGAGAGCATCTGGGATGTTAGGAAGAGAATCAGAAGTGTCAGCCCAGGAAGGAAGAGAGGCACATGTAAATACAAGGAAGAAGAATTCTACACAGATCGGTGAGCAGTCCAGAGTGTGGGTGCTTCTACGCCCTGTTCCTTCTGCCTACATCCTTGTCCCCACGTACTCGCAGGCTACCTCAGGTGTCAGTTTCTCAGAGAGAGAGTTCTGCTGCCTGTAAGGCCCAGAATTACAAGCCCTGGCCCTGTACCATCTCTGGTAATATAATTCCCCTTTTCTGGAGATTTTTATTGTCTGTAGTACATATTAACATTTGACACCCTAATGTTTGTTGACTTTCATTTGCTTCCTGTCTGTCTCCCTCGTCCCACATCCCTCCTACATCACAAACTCTATGTCTGTCCTCTTCTTTCCTCCCTGGGAATGTAAAGAGTACCTAGAGCATATTGGATACTCCATCTATATTTCTTATTTGGCTGAAGCAAGGGAGGAACTGGCTGGGGGCTAAAGGCAGAAATTCTTTGGACTAATTTACACGTCTGCTTCCTACAAGCATTCATAAAGTTGTGTGTGCTCTCTAAGCTTTGGCTTCATTCTCCCCAAAAGGACAGAAGTCACCCACACCCTAAAAGATAGGGAAATGAGGTGGCTTAGATAAAGAGCTTGGTAGAAAACAGAGATTGGCTTAGACTGGACCCCCAAACTCAGACTTCTGGGTACAGAGTGTGCAATCTAAGACAAGCTACTTTACCTCACCCCATCCCAGATCTTTTTTGAAATGCAGAAAAAGACAGCAACCATCGCATGCCAGTTGTTGAATGAGTTGAAAAAGATAACACACAGAAAGGATTGGCTATCCCCAGCAACATCTTAGGGACTCTGCAATAAGGGTCATCCAACATCATGTATCTATCATCCATCTGAAGACCAGGGACACAGTAACTATTAGCTAATCATGTAAACATGCATAAGCAAGTCCTTAGGACTTCATTGATGTCTATCCAGGAGCTTTTATTTAATGGGTTTAATTGTGCCTATTGAGTGATTATTTTTGCAAGTGCTAGCCATATTGTAGGAATATAGAAGTAACTGTATCATAGTCCTGGGCCTCAAGGAAACTCAATGGAACAGATATGGCACCTTTTCTAAGGATTGCAAATTCCAGGGGCAGAATGAGGCTTGATTTGCCTTTCCTTCTTAAACTATGTAAAAAGCCAGGAAATATTGAACTATAAGGACGCCAATAACATTTAAACAATTAGCATGAGGTTCTTGGTGAAATTACACACCTAGTCCAGAGCTCTCAGAGTAATTAGCTTCTATCTCAAATTCAGATTTTTCTACATAAATTTGGCATAAGTTTCTGGCCTCCTAGACTTGGGTAAGTTATAATCACATGCTTGTTGTGAGGATGGTAAAAGTCTCATCTGGAAGAAGGATGCCGACTGAGCAACAGAAAATAAACACTGGAAGAATTTTGTAGCTTGTGCCTAGACCACCGGGTGCCTTGAACAGGGCACAGCCTCACAAACGCTAAGCACTTCAATGTATAAATGACCAGGCTGGTTAGTGTTTTTCCTCTTGAGTTGTTTCTGTGGGCCTGGTCGCTGATCCTGAGGGAGCCAATCAGCACTCAAACTCAAACACAATTAACTGCACAAAATAGATGCTTGGTGAGCAGCTGCTAAGCAAGCTGGACGTGTTCCTCAACTGGAGACAGACACTGGCTTCTGACTATGATTGCCTCTGTGTCTCAGGCTCCTCCGTCACCAGGAACTGTGCCTATAGCTGTCACGATCATAGGTTATTGCAATTTCTGCTGAGATGGGATTAGAGTGTCTTCTGCTCTGCAGCTCTGTTCTAGGCTTTGGCTCTACCAGGGAGAAGGAGGGAAGGAGCTTTAACCCAATGCCCACTCTCTGTGTTCCTCAGCTGACAAGTACATCGGGAAGTTAAAGTCACCAGGACATGAAGGTATTCACCAATGAACTGATTTTTAATAAAGTCAGTTGTCTCTCAGATGTTCCTCTTTGATTAATGCTAAGGATTCTTTTCCTTATCCACCAGAGTCCCTCCTCTGTCTGGTTTTCCTCTCCCTGATTTGCATGTCTCACAATATCCAATAATATGTGCAAATAAAACATAAAGTGATCTACCAAGTGAAATTATAAAACATGGAAGAATTATAAAAGTTCATGCACATCAGTGAGAGCAAACTGATGGATTCCTTATAATATCCCTCACAAAAGTGTGTGGCAGAGCTGTATCAGGTAGGACCTGAGGCTGAAGAATTGGAACGCTGTTAACACTGGAGATCCAGCAGTGCGGGAGAGCTGTGAATATCAAAGGTTTAAGGTGAGCTTCCTGAAGAAAAGAACTCTTAGTTCTGTGTAGATTATCGGCTTCCTGTGGACTTGCTGTGAAGTTCATCACAACTACTTCAAGCCCTCATATGACTTTACTGAAAACATATTTTCTACTTTCTTTTAAAAATAAAAACAGTAATTTTATTAGTACTAGTTTTTTTTTAAAGTCTTGACTCATTGAGCCAATTAACACATAGTCACAATAAGAAGTCAGTGTGATGCTTTTCAAAAGACAAAGCAGGGGTCGGGTCGGAGAGATGGTTCACCACTTGCTGTTCTTACAGATGACCTGGCTTCAGTTCCCAGCACCCAAGGCAGGTAGTTTACAACTGCCTATAATTCCATTTTCAGGGATCCAACTCTCATTCTGGACTTCTTGGACGCCCAGACATATGTACATGTACAAACACAGAGACACACAAACATACCGTCTTTTTCACAACCTATTATGAAACCCTGGACCAGCGTGGGCTGCCTTTTAGTGGGTTTTGAGTCATTGAGAGTGGCCTTGTTCATAAGGTCTAGAAGATAGGGATTTGTGGAGAAGTCATGGGCATCTCAGGGGTCCTAGGCTAGGCAGGACAATAACTCCCACGGCTTGTTGTCAAGGTTACCTCAAAGAATCCATGAGCTGCAACAGAGTGGGCTCTAAGCAGAAAAGCAACATGACTAATCTGTGAGTGACCTGGACCTAGCGAAGGTCCTGAGTCAATGTCATAGCCACAATTACTACAAGAGTAAGGAATGACTCACCTAAGAGGCCCAATAAACAGATGATTTTAATAGAGCATGTTTTCAGTATCAAGTAACAAGGCTCAGAAAATGAGCACACATAGCTTAAAAGAATAACAGTGAACAGTCATTTGTAGTTATTACTATTGTTATTTATGGTCCATCCGGGAAAATCTAGGGTCATTACAAGCATTTTCAAGTTCCATGAAAAGAAATTCTATTTGAGATCCTAAAATTTGAAATACTGGCTTCACCCATCCTCGCCAATGCCCCCAGCTCCAAGATCACCCTTAGCGCCCCATCTTGTAAGGCTACACAAGTCCTTTCACCCTCTCTCCAGATGCTAAGTCATGTTCACTGTGTTCTCATCCCTGGACACTTGGGATTAATTGCATTCCTTCAAATAAGACAGGCTCAGACTTATGTCATTTCCAGGGACTATGGACATGCACCTTGAATGTTAAGGTCAAAAGATAAGAATCATTAGAGGATCTACTTACTGGTGGACCAGGATTCCCTGGAGGGCCCATGAAACCTGGAAGTCCAGGGTGACCCTAGAAAGACACAAAAGGTAATTCTTTAGGTTACTTACAAAATGTTTTTTACTTTTCACTTTGAAGAAATATCAACTTTCATAAAACAATCAAGAGTCTGTTTTCTAACCCCAGTAACAATTTTGATTGAGGATGCTGTGAACAAAGGGTCACTTTTTCTTTCTTTCTTCTTTTTTAAAAAAAATTATTTTTATTTTATGTGCATGATTGTTTTGCCTGCATGTATATAAGTGCACCACATGACTGCAATGCCTGTGGAGGCCAGAAGGGGGCATTGGGCCTCCTGGAACTGGAGTTACGGGTAGCGGTTAGCTGCCATGTGGGTGTGGGGAACTGAACCCAGCCAGGTCTCCTCTACAAAAGCAGCCACTGCTCTTAACCACTGAGCTATCTCTCCAGTCCAAAGCCTCTCTTTTTCATACATCATTAGAAACTCAGAGTGATTGACAGCATTTAGAAAAAAAAATATATCTTGCAAGTGGATTTGATTCAGAATAATTTGGGTTGTGGAGGAAGTAATAGGAAAGGGGTTGAGGGTATAGATTAAAAACAGCAGGGGTCACATCTTAAAGCTCTGTGGCTAGCTGCGGATACCTGGGGATATATTTTATTATACTCCCAACTCTGCAGAGATGTATGCAGTGTCCCACTAAGAAGAGGAATTAAGGTAGGCACACATATAATCTCATACAGTTGTCTCCTAGTATCTGCAGAGGTTGGTTCCAGGATATCCTCCTCCTGAGGTCACCGGAGTCCAGGGTCACTCAGGATCCCTACACAGAATGACATATGACTTACACACCCCATTTCATACATTCTCTAGACGACTTGTAATATTTACTGCAATGAAAACACTAAACAAATCATTAGGCCATATTCTTTCAGGGATAATAAAAAGAGGAAGGCATATATGCATTCAGTATAGATGGAACTTTTAAGAATATTTTTAGACATGATTGGTTTATTCCATGGGTATAAAACCTGAGGACATAAGGGGCTAAGCACACATCTATATCTGTAGCCTTTTGTGTGCACATTAGTGTGTACATGTGTGTGGAGGCTAAAGGTCAACCTTGACTATTATTCCTCAGGTACCATCCAAATTTTAAATATTATTTATTTATTTATTATTTTATTCTATGTGTATGAGTGTTTTGCCTGCATGTAAGTAAGTGTACCTACCTGTGTTTTTAAAAGCCCTCAGAGGCCAGAAGATGGTGTTGGGTCTCCAGGAACTGGAGTTAAATATGGTTGTTAGCTATGATGTGGGTGCTGGGAATTGAACCCAGGTCCTCTGAGAGAGTAGCCAGCACTCTTAACCACTGAGCCATCTCTCCAGCCCCACTATTCACCTTTTATGAAACAGGATCTCACACTGACTGTAACTCCTCAAATAGCACAGGCTGGCTGGCCAGATAGCCCAGGGTCACTGGTCTCTAACACCCCAGCACTGGGATTACAGGTGCATGCCACCACACCAGCTTGCTTGTTTATGTAGGTTGTGGGTGTGAACTCAGAACTCATTCTGCAAGGCAAGCATTGTACTGGCTGAGCAATCACCCAAGCCCCAGTCTTGTGTGTGTGTGTGTGTGTGTGTGTGTGTGTGTGTGTGTGTACATCTGCTTAAAAGAAATGCATTTGGAATAATTGAATTATGGCATCAGTACTATGGTACTGTTACATAGTGTTCCATTTTCCACATGGAGAGTCCTGCATATTACAGAACGAGTTATTCAGTCTTGGTTCATTCTCTGTGGTGTTTGGCATCTAACATTTACTCTACTACAACAATGATAAAATACCAAATAAGCATCGTGAAAGAAATCATTTCTCTCCCCTGGCCCTCCATGTCCAGCCACTGGAAAGCACAAGCTTAACACGTGGTACCGAGCATAGAGGGTACTGCAGCAGATGGACCACGCTTGCCATAATGACCGAAATACATGTTTCTCTAAGTACAGCGGACCGGAGCTTAAGTGCAGGTACATGTGGCTGCTTGAGGCGCAATGGCTCACTGGCTTACCCTCCACCCAGATGTACTAACATGACCTGAGGTCAGGATCCACCTTTGCTCATTTCCTATCTCGGACCCTGGAGCAGTGCCTCGCTTAGAGTTGGTTACCATGTGCGCTGGGCTGAGACACAGAGGAATGTGACAGAAGAAAGGGAGGGCTGATGGGAGAGCCAGGAAGAGAAGGATGGGGAAAATGGGAGTGGAGCCTCTCAGCTGCC